TAGTATAATTAAAATAGTATAATAATAAAATAATAAATCAATATATAGTTACTTCTTTCTATCTCCATTTTTACATCAAAATATTTCTGCATCAAAATGTACTGGACTAATATACAATATATAATCGTTTAATACAATAATTTATTCATATTTAAAAAATCACAAAAGCAAATTCTTATTAACTTAGTAACACTGAATTATTAGATGGAATCCAATCTTAACGTTCTGTGCTTTTAAATTTTTCGTCTTTTTGAGTCTCGTGAAAAACGACACACTTTAATACCTTTTTTGGCAGAGTTTGTGCAATAATCTGTTACACAAGCATTGTAGTTTTAATCAACAACAACAAATCCCTGGTGGAAAAATTGCTGAAATTATTTGTTTTGAAATATTTTTCAAAATTTCAACATTTCAAAAAAATTTCAGTTTAATTTCAGCGATTTTTAGAAAAATTCATTTTTGACAAAATTTCAGAAAAATTTCAGCAAAATTTTCAGATAAATTTCAGCAAGAATTTTAGAGAGATTTCAAAAAATTTCAAAGAAATTTCGATCGGATTTCAGTGATTTTTTAATGTTAACTGAAAAATTCAGTTTCAGTGAAATTTCAGCAAATTTTCAGCAATTTCGCTGAAATGTTCCAAAATGGATTAATTTCAACAAAACTTTTTCATCAAGGATAGGTTAAGTTATAATGATTATTTAAGAAATTCATGTTTTTATTTCATTAAAAAATATAACTCCATCGTCAATCTACTCCACCTCGCCACTCACTTCTCCTTAAATTTGAATAACTCGCCGAATAAAATGATCAACAAACGAATCAGCACTCATCTCTGACACACAGAAATCTCACTCGAAACATTGTAAATGACTGGGTAAATGATATACACTAATAGTACACACGACACGCAATTTCCGCTTTTGCCTCAATTTGGCGGATCAATCATAAATTACCCTGTTGGCTGTACTCTTATTATAGGTATACTTTAGAATATTAGTTGCTTTCCATTTATACACAAGTGAAACTGAGTTTGAAGTGAGCTGAGTATTTTATATTCAGATTAATAACGTCATTTGCTTACTTTAATAAAGATTATCACAGGTCAACACAGGTTCATAATTTCAGTTTGAAGTGAATTTACGAGACTCATTAAGGGTACAGTCAACGCGATGCTGCAAATGCTTTTCAACTGGTCAGTAAAATTCTTACTTCTAATTGGTCCTTCAAATGCTTCAAAGTATTTGTGCGAGATTTTGATCACAGCCTGTAGCACACGGTCTCGATCTTGTGCAGATTATGGATAAAAAGTCTCAGTTGAATCTCACTTGTCAGAATGCAAAAGGAATGCGCATTCAACTGAGTTATGACGTCAAGTGAGAATTATCTGAGAATCATTCTCTATAAATGAAAAGCAACTATTATTGACGGAATCTTGTAATTCAACGCGGGATATGTAATTTAAAATGGACGCTTTGAAAGAATGCATGTTAGCTAGAATGTATAAATAATTTATTTATACGGATACAATAATTCATCTTAAGTAAGGATATCGTTAACGATAATAGGTAATGTAAATCAAAGACTTATATGACATAATGATAGAACGTGTTATACAACATGTATTAGTATAAATTATTATAATGATGGCGAGTTCAGTATTCCTCTTCTTCCTCGGTGTTAACAGCATCTTCTTGCACTTCGCGATAATCGAGCTCCAAGGCGGCTAGATCTTCCCGGGCTTCCGAGAATTCACCTTCCTCCATGCCTTCCCCAACGAACCTGCAAAATTTAGTATATCGTGTTTTAATAATGCCTATTTTAATCTTGATTCAATTTAGTTTTTTATCAATTTTAATTTAGTTTTAAATTATAAAAAATGAAGAGTATTTCTTTATATCTTATCACGTGTTATTAAGTTCAATGTTATTTAATTTGCTTAAGTATACATGAGCCTTAATTTATTGTTTCACTTTCAGAAAATTTTTATCAATTCATTCCTAATCTAATCTTTTTTTTTGTATGTTAGGTAACAAATGACGCTATCTGTATTAAACAATATACATATTATTTGATGAATTGATTATCGTTCAAATTCATCACAGTTTGTACAAGTTACTTTTGGTAATTCATCTTGTTATCTACTTGTTAGAAAAATGTTTTGCTCTAGCTGATCTAGACACGTATGTTAATGCTAAATGGCAAGCAATATTATTTACGCTCAACTCGAGCCTCTTACCAATGTACGAAAGCTCGCTTGGCATACATGAGATCAAATTTGTGATCAAGTCGAGCCCATGCGTCCACGATCGCTGTCGTGTTGCAGAGACAGCAAACAGCTCTTTCTACTCGCGCGAGATCTCCACCTGGTACAACGGTGGGTGGTTGATAATTTATTCCCACCTGTTAACATGAGAATACAGTGATACTTTACTGTAATCGACTTAAAAAAATATGGAAAGATCAATTAAGAGGAGTTTATAAACATTCATTTTACATAACAAATTGCGAATCCTGAAAATACTTAACTCTCTAAATTTCTTGGAGTGAAATTTTATTCCAAAAGAGTGAAAATATTTGCATTTTTGAATAAGAATGGCAGATTTTCATTCTTTTTTTAAAATGAGATTTCTTTGGAGTGAATCTCACTAAAAGAAAAAGAAAAAAAATTAATTCGACGCGTAGTTCAAATGACTATAAGAATCGTAAAATTATCGGATATCCAAAAAGAATGTAACATTGGATATCCAAGAAGGCAATGTTTCGAATCAGATATCCAATATTTTCCAGATATCCGATCGGATAATGTCAACTTACGATTCATAACAAAAAAAGCTGAATAAAAAAAAAGAAAAAAGGGGTTGTAAGGGAAAAATAACAATTATGATTTTAATGTTGTCTGAGTTTGATTATCAATGGAGATGATAATTGTAGAGAAAAAAAATTGTAATTTTGCAGCAATGTATAAGATATTATACATTATGAATATGCATACTCTTATTTATAGAACATGTGTATAATAAAAAAATCAACAATTTAATGATATAAAATTTCAACCGGATATTAATGATATCTGGCTATCCAATCGGATAGTAAAAAAGTGCCGGATAATACTAGATACCGGATATCTTTTTGGATATCCGGTGCATCCTTACAAATGACTATAAATATAGTATATATGTATGTACGTGTATGTATAAATGACTATAAAGTAAAGACTATAGTATATATATAGTATC